GTAAGTCATTTTTCAGAAAACCATTTGCTGCATAGAGCAAATAAATGTAAAATCTGTAGATAAGTTCACGTGCAGATAACCTGTCTATGGTCCAGGATGTATCAGAGACAGGCTCAGAAAGATACCTGTTTTGAGCTGTGGGATATTTTACTTTCAACATCAGTCCAAAAGTGATTTTTAAGCAAAGAGGTCTTCTTAGAACCAATTAACCACTTTTAACCTTTGATCGTTTTCTGGAACCACTGACGAGGGTTAAAAATCTCAATATGGTATGTGATTCAGATCTAATTATGCTGTTTGGGCCTCTAATGCCAACATTCCTTTATTTTCTACCCACTCAACTGCTTGAAGCCATGACTTGTCCCTTTCCTCCTTCCAGAACACTTTCCCTGTTCTCCTCCTAGTGATATACCAATCTCTACCAGTACAGATCTCTACTTATGTCTTTTATCCCCATTTTCAGATTTTTCAGTTCTTACAAAACTTCTTTGAGGCTCACCCACATTTAAGACTGATGAACCACAAAACAGGTTAGGACCAGTGCTATGTCTTAGAAATAGGAATCATTTCTAAATTAATTGACTTGAAGTCAATACTTACCCACCATGAAGCCTATTATGGAAATGAGTAAAGCTTTAATGAGGGGGCTGGCCTGGTGGTGTAGTGGTTAAGTTTGCATGCTCCACTTTGGCAACCCAGGGTTCACAGTTTTAGATCCCCAGCACGGACTTATGCACGGCTCATCGAGCCGTGCTTTGGTGGCATCCCCCACACAAAAAGAGAGGAAGATTGCCACAGGTGTTAGCTGAGCAACAACCTTTCTCAAGCAAAAAGAGGAAGATTGGCAACAGATATTAGCTCAGGGCCAATCTCCCTCACCAAAAAAATAAATTTAAAAAAAAGAACTGTAATGAATTAAAGATAATTTTGCATTTTATACCATTTGCCATACTTGACTCACAAATTTCACATTTAAATAAAAGAAGTTGGGGTTGAAATAGAAAACTATTACACAAAGAAAAATAATAGAAATTTAATTATCAAGGGCAGGTATATATCTCTTAAAAGGAAAATAGATTGCTTTTGAAAAAATTGTTCAAACAAGTGACCATGACAATATTAGTTATGTGTTAAAATACAAATGGAGGGTTTTTTGCACAAACAATTAGTAAATTGCTTTGGGAAACTTGGGTTTTTCCCAACCTATGGCCAACTGAACTGAGTCGTATCCTTTCACTCTGTCTCCTACTTCGGGTAAGCTATGTTTCAGACAAATTGGATAGAGGAATCAGAAAATGTAAATGCGGAATTTTTAAAAATTTACTCAATGTTATATTTTTATTTTACGGAAACTGTATATATGTATCATTCATATATAAATATATACGTATGTGTGTATGTTTTGTTCAGAATAGAGACTATAGAAAGCAAACCAATACTTGATAATGTTTTCCTGGCTGGAAGAAATATGCAGAATATACAGAGATTCTCAAGTTGAGCTCCACCCCTCTGGGGATATAAGAATCTCAGAAAAAAGGGAGGGAAAGATGAGAATTTTTTTTTTTTTACCAACTCTGGGCAAGGATTTTAAAGGGCTGCAAAAGATCAGTGTATGGAGCTATAAAGAGGGTAAGTGAATATCAGGGCTGTTTGAGTTAAAGAAGGGACCAGTCTCTGTTTGGGCTCCTGCCCTGAGCTCACAGTCATAATTCCAACAGCCCACATGTTGACCATCACTCTGCGCCAGGCTCTGGACTGAGCACTTTGGCATCATCTCATTTAATCCTCCCTTGACCCTCGATGTATACACTATTAATACCTCCATTCTATGGCTGAAGGAACAGATGCTTCAAGGGCTGGAATAACTTACCCAAGATCACAGAGAAAGTAAATTCAAAGCCAAGATTTGCCCTTAATCATCTTACTCTATTCTACTGGAAAGAGCTGATTTTTGCCTCTCACTAAAACATTCCCATTAATATCCTTGCTATATTTAACTGTAATTACCTTATATAGTCTCTTCTCTTAAGCCATACCCTTTCTTAAGAGCTATATTCCAAAATTATTTGGGTATTCAGCACAAACCAGTAGTCACGGATTATATTAGGATTCAAATGTCAAATTACTGACTCCTGACAAATTTGACCTGTGGTGAGGTATCTAATGAAAGCTCTTTTGTTTAATAGGAATGATAATAATAGCTAGTCATTACTGAGTATCATGTGCTAGGTATTGTTCTGAGAGTTTTAAGTTTATTAATTGAAATTGATTTAATCTTCATAACAACCTTATGAGGTTGTTAACCAATATATCCAATTTACGGATGAGAAAACTGAAAATGTGCCTTTTGAAGACCTTGGAAAATACGTGGTCCCTGAAAAGATATGGAAAGAAAACTGCAAAATGAAAACAAATGTGTAATTAAATGTCTACAATATATAGCATTACATAGGTTTTATTAATTATTGAATCTAATATACTTAAAATCTTTATTATATCTGAAAACAACTTGTAGGATAGATTTTTCTCACTTGCAGGAGTTGCTGAGTATTTCCCTGTGCATGCTGAGACATCACTGCCAACCTTTAAATTAAAGGAGTTAGTCATAGCCAAATAACTCAAACAAAAAATTATAAAAATCTCTCAAAATTCTCAGGGAAAAAAAATAGAGAGGGAAAATGAGAGAGAGATATTGAGGGATTTCCCAGAGAAAAGGTAAGGCCTATGAAGGGGCTAAAATTGCCGTAATTTGTGCGTGTGATGACTTAAGGAGCCTGGGAAGAGCTAAGGACTTTACATCCACCTTGTTCAAGTTCACTCTAAGTTTAAGATGCACCAAAGAACCATGAAATAGGATTTGAAAGCTGATGATCCTGCTCTGCTTCCTGCTGGCTGTGTGACCCCGGGCAAAGCCCTTAGTGGCCCTGTTCCTCATCATCAAACAGGGTGGTTTTAAACATTAAACAAGACGTGTATTGGAAAGTGCTTTGCCAACTGTACATTTCTATAGATGTTAAAGTATACCCATTAATTCCAGCTATACAGTTTTCCCCTTATTGAGGGAAGGACAATTAAAATTCTAAGATGTTTTTAAAACAAATTTTGGTTTTTTACCATTAAGTAAACGCAATAATCCAACAAAATGCTGTCAAATAGATATCTGCCCTTCGAGGTCTTTCTATAAATGGCCAGGAATAATTAGCCCATTGACTTTCCACAGATGAGCATTTCTTAGATGCCAGAGAAGTTTATTTATACAAGTAGTTTCAACATACTCTCTGAAATCTTGTTTTTCACCTGCCAGATCTCATCAAGATGTCTTGGACACTGTGGCAGCTGCCAGCCTCAGGGTAAGGTGCAGCCAAAGACCCAAAAGGCAAATGTCCACTCTGTTTTCTTGAAGCCCAAGTTCAGAAGCTGCCTGTTGGCCTGCCCTGGACTGGGTGAGAGCATCAGAGACTCTCATCTTCACTCAAGGCCTGGGCCTGAGCAGAAGACAACTGGCCTTTTCTAGGGTCTAGTGAGGAAATGGCTCCATCTGCCAGCCAGAGACTTTTCCCTCATTTCCTTCAGCTTCAAAATTTTAAGGGGACCAAAGCAAGGGGTGCCTGCAGACCCATCCTAAGACGGAAGTCACAAGAGACAAAATAAGGAGAAGCTGAGAGAGAAGAATGATGGAATCCAACAACTCTCCATCTATGTGCCAATTAATTAATTAATTTCAACAATTCTCGGCTGGTTAAGTGGAGCCTCCAATACTCAGTGCAGCCAAACCTCCACTCTCCCTTCTCTTAAGCTGCCACCCCAACACCTGTTTCTGTCCACTCGGATGCATTGTGTGTAGCATTTATGTTTTCTATCTGGGAATGACTGGGGTGGGGGTCATGAAGGGGAGGAGGATTAAAAACAGAAAAGAAGAGGATGGAGCAAAGGGTAAGGTATCTATTCTGTCTCTGCCTCTCACTCCTCCCCTTCGTGATATGAGGGAGAAAAGGCCAGAAACTGGTGGAAGAGTTCAAGATCTGTTGCAACTCCAGACCAGCATAGCTGCTTCCTCTCCCAGGGTATAAAATGCAGAGCAGTGAGGGCCATTCTCTCAGCCCTTTAAAAAGGCAGGAACACCTGAATCCCAGAAGCAGTGGAAACATGTGGGAATTGGAAAAGAACAAATCCAAATGGAGGGTGCACTGACCATCGCTGCCAGTCTAGTCTGAAGCCATGCTAAAGCACCCCAAAGGGCAGCACCCCATAAAAAACACAAGTGACCTCAAGAGGCCACCAGAGTCAGGCAGGTGGGGGGCTGCAGCTGCTACTATAACTCACATCCTAATGACAAATGTAGTCTGGGACATCTTGGTTGCATTGATGACATTACTCCTTTCACTGATCAATGTCTGTGTCTTACAGTCTTGACCCCTCCTCTCATGGAATTGGAGGGAGGAAGCCTTCTGCTCCCACTGGAGATTCACTTGTGGGCTCCACAAATGCCCTTCTCATCTGTGATGTAAAAGTCAATTCAGGGGCCGGCCCCCTGGCCGAGTAGTTAAGTTTGCTTGCTCCACTTCAGCAGCCAGGGGTTTCATTGGTTCAGACCCTGGGCGCAGACATGGCACCGTTCATCAGGCCATGCTGAGGCGGCGTCCCACATGCCACAACTAGAAGGACCCACAACTAAAATACACAACTATGCACTAAGGGGCTTTGGGGAGAAAAAGCAGGAAAAAAAAAACAAAAAGAAGATTGGCAATAGCTGTTAGCTCAGGTGCCAATCTTAAAAAAAAAATCAATTCAACCAGGTTCTTGGCTCTTCATCAGAAATTCAGAACAAGGGAACAAGTTGATAAAGTCTTCTATCTGTCTAATGAGACAAAGAGGATAGAAATTAGACACAAAAACTAACTCATCTCATCCAACTCTGGCACTCAATGCAATCTTTGTAAGTAATCTGAGCCGGACATATAGCATGCCTTTAGAAAGACGAGCATTGGGTACAGACTCACCACTGAACCGAATTGCTTGCTCTGGTGGTCTTCTCAAGCTTTGAAACATCTATTTCCATCTTCCTAGGACTGAAATTGTCGTGAATCACCGTTTCTATATTTAAATGTTTTATTTCTTATGATATCAAAACATAAACATTGCTGCTCTTAGCTTCTCACAGATTTTAAAAAGCATGGATATATACCTAAATTTGTGTCTGTGCTAAATAAAATAGCCTTTCACAAAATCTTGCAAATCAAACCACTTGCAAAAAGCTACTTTTTCTAGTTGTATAGGAGGGAGTGGGAGTAAATATCACTGGGTATTAAAATGTCAACTTCTCATGGAACAAAACCTGAAAATGGGAAGACCGTCAGGCAAGTAAGAGAAGATAATACGCCACATAAATCGTTTTTACTGTTTGCTTTTTTTTTTTTTATTTTTTGAAATGGGAAGAAATGAAAAAAACAAGTCAACTTAGGAGGGGAAAAAAGGCTCTTATCTTATTCTGACTCCCCTCCATCTCTGTCCATGACCAAAACTGTTCTAAAGAAAACTGATCTAGTTGATAACAGGGAGAGGTAAAAGGAAGAAATGTGAGAAGATGGATAAAATTGTCCTCCAAAAATCTTGGAAGACACTAAACATTAAGGACAAAGATTCAGACCCTCAGAGGAAATGGCAGGATGGAACACCATGTTTCTGCTCCAACTCAAGCATTATTTCTATACCCACTCATTATATTAAGATGTTATTTAATGGGCCTTTGTTTGCCACATGAATCCTTTTAATAGAGTTGCTCTTCTGGTTTTATATTTTTTAATTAATGTTTCACCTTTACTCCCAAATCTGAGGCAGCTTCAAAAACTACACTATTTAAAACCTCAAAAATAATAGAAATTTTACTCTGATTGGTCAATTAGTCTAAATCCTACACTTGGTCCCTTTGGTTCAGTTATAGAGCTGCATTTAGTAGAACAAGTCCTGATGTTTTAGCGGGTATTAAGTTTAGAACACTTAATGGAAGAATAGAAAGTGACTATTTCAGGCCATCTTAGCTTAGAAGTGGCATGTAAGACCTGGTCCAAGAGAGTTTCTTCTTTCTCTCGTGTATCAGGGGAATCTGGAATGCTAAATCCCCCTTCATGGGGAACACTCCTAGCTGCATACACAAAGGATACAGGGGCTGGAACCCCACACCCTTGAGGTTATTTTTGTCTGTCTTTTTTGTTGAACCACAGAGCAGAGGATTGAGTTATCATATTCCATACTTCACGGCACATTGTTTTGCTTGGTTCTAGGAAAGGTCTCCCTTTTATTTTACTTTTGAACTTAGTGTCTAGCCCTATTCCTGTTTCCATCTCCCTCTCCCCCCACTGCTACATTTCTAATGCGTTTGACGTCTATTTCTTTTATTGGACCACTCCTTCTCTGTACTCATGCCTCCTCCCAGTCTTGGCACCCATCTCCAGGGTCTTCTCCCCATCATCCCATCTGATCCCATCTTGATGTCATCTTTGGTACCCCAGTTTACCTGCCCCTCTGCCTCCTCACTCACCATTTTATTCCCTTCCTTCTCTGCTTGCTTGATGCTGCCGTGACTGACTGATTAGTAACTGCCCTCCCAGGCTCGGGGCTGTAGCTCTCCAACAAGCCTGGCAGGGATGGCCTGGACCTTCCAAGGAGGATTTCTTCTCCCCAGAATCTGCTGTCCGGGAATCTCCACCTAAAGCATAACCCAAAAAATAACTCCTCTAGCACTCTGATGATATGTCAGACATACTCCTAATTCAGTTAGGGAATAAAAATATCTTCATCAACGACATCGGGCTTTACTTGAGGGTAATTGGGAAAGTGCAGAAGGAAAGAAACCCTTGTTTGTGCCTGTTCTTTATCAACAGTGGTCTGCCCTTCAGGGTTTACTAGGCAACTATAACAATCAAGCATTGAATAGCTCTCCAGAATGCAGATAATATGTGCCCCTAATTCTTAAAGAAAAATAATGGAGAAAATATTATTGTCTTTCTAACCCCATAAAAGGGATTGAAAACAAGCTATGGTCTACCAAACTAACAGCGTTCAAATTTGTGCTACTTTTTTGGGCCTGCTGCTGGTCTGGGCCTACAGAGGTCCCTCCTGTAGCCCGGAGGAGGCCTTCACATCCAGGGAAACTCCGGTCATTGGACACACTGTTCTTCTGGTGGGATTTTCCACGGTGGCTTGGCAAAATAGACTGTTAATAATTGGGTCCTTTATGAAAAAGTCTTCAAAATATGCAATGCCATGGAAATTCTTTGAAACTCATTTTAAATCTTCAATTTGGCAGTGTCAAGCAGACAAAATGTGGAGCAGCATATGTTTTTAAGTATCTCACAGCTGTCGTCTTAAAAGCTGTAGACGGCTTTAGTTCAGCCAAGATACTCATTTCCTGCAAATAAAGGGTTGGACAGACAAATACCCATATCTCTGCGTTCAAAGTGCATGTGCTCGAGTATTGTTCTTCACTTAAACATAGCACTTTTTATTTGCAAAGGGCTTTGTGGTCGCCCTGGTTACTTACTCCAGACAGCATTCCTGTGAATTACATTTTCTAAAGTGACAGACAAGAGAACTAAAACACTGACATTATGTCACAGGCTGAGGGCCTGCACCTCCTGGGTCCTGCAGCTCCGTGCGTTAGGACGAGGAGACAGAGAAAAATGTGAGGTATGTTCGGAGACCTGGGAATCACCACTTCCTGTCCTAAATGGATGTTCCCAAGGAGACCGTTAGGTGGTGAAATCTCTCCTAGTTGGCAGTGGGAAAGTAACCCTGGTCTACATTTTATGATTCTTTTCTTGTAAGATACTTGAAGTACTTTTCAGGTAATAACTCACAAATTACCCTAACATCACTGCGATATGTGTCTGTGGCAGATATTATCTCCATTTTAGCAATGAGGAAGAAATTGAAGCATAGAATCATAGAATAACTTGGAGCTTCTCCTGGCCCCCCGGCAGCAGGTTGATTTAGCAAAGGAGATGCATGTAAGTTCAATAAAGAGCATTTTGACAGAAAAGATTTCAAATGTGCTTATTTACAAGCTAGCAACAAACCTAAGACATGATTATGTGTTAAACTCAAAACAGAGCTATTTGCATTGGTGATTCTCAATCCATATTAAATGACTACGGCAACAATAAGAATCTGGTTGTTCTGTGCTTAGGAGCCCATGCCAGATCCACTTTGGCCATTTACACTTCTTTTCAAGGCTGATAAACTCTTACTGAGGTATTTTGTTCACCTCTATGCAGAAAATAGGAGCTCCTTTTGTTTCTCTGACAAAAATTCAACCAAAAAAAAAAAACCTTAATAAAAGAAACAGCAAAAGAAATGGAGCATGTCTAGTTCCTGTGACGCGTAATTAACCAGGTACCTCTTCGCATGTGTGTGTGTTTATTCATTTGATTTTCCAGCTCTCTCAGGGATCCAAATGTAACACAGAGCACTGGGGAACAACTCACAGATTTACAAGGCACTCGGGGGAATACAAAGCCTGTAAACTGACACATTAGCCTCATCCACAGACGGGGTGTGAAGTACTTTACCGCCACAATATGGACCACAGTGTTCCTAATCCAGAAATAATTTGGTATCAGTAACCAATTTAACATTGGCACCAAAACGTCCTTCATTTCCCTTAACTGCTTCCAACCCAATGAAAAGTAAATGCAATTGAGTGGAAATTGCTTTTCAAGGAATTGTGTTTGCGCTAAAAATGTGAAGCGAGGGATCGAGAGTCCATTTCATCAACCCAGGCCCAAGACTGAGCACTTTCTATTTGAAAACATGACAGGAAGTTCATAAAATGGCTTCTCGTGTTGAATTTATATGATTTCAGTAGAATTATGTGCTGAATACAGTTTTTCTAAGCCAATAATCAGGGAGGCAAAAAGATAGCCTTTACGTTTCCTGTAATTAAATTTAACTTCTATCTCAAGCTCTCAATCTTCTGTGTAGCAGGACAGTTAATCTCCCTAATTTAATTCAAATTAGTGATTCTCCAATCATTTCAGGGATAAAATCAGACAAATTTAGGGTTTCACCCTTTCCTTTGCATTCTCTTGAGATGGTAGCGGAGTTCTGTGGGTTTGCGTGTGTCTTGGCACTGGGGAATGAGGCAGCTTCTCCACTGGCATCCAAAGGGGGCACTTCCACCTGCTGATCTTTGGTCATTAGCCTCTGTCTCCACAGCATCCCCTGCCCTTGTGAATGGGTCCACGAGGGCCTCTGGCTTCTCCAGTTTGCTCCTGCTGACAGCGAACCCTCCTCACAGCCTTTCTCAACCATGTCCACAGTCCTCTCAGGGACAATGAAAATCCTTGTGGGTTCTCCTCTGGACTGCTGGGGACTCAAAACTGTGAGATCCCTTCTTGCTTAAACTGGCCCAGCTGCCATCTCTGTTTTGCTGCTGCTCCAATGTGTTCATAAGGTTTGCTGCACACTCAGGCTTCACCCAAGAAGCAAGGCATAGGTCTTCCCTGCTCTTGGAACCCTTCAAACCAAGCTGAGCTTTCTGTCATCCTCACCCAGGGCTTGGTCACCACTAAACAAGGACTCTAGAGCCAGACTGCCTGAGTGCAAACACTGGCTCTGCCACTTACTAACTGTATGACTTTGGGTCCAGCTCTTGCCTCTCTGTCCCTCAGTTTTCTCATCTTCAAAATGGGATCTCATAAGGTTGTTGAGAAGGGTAGATGAATTAAAATATGAAGTGCACTTGGAATAATGCTTGGCACATAGTAAGTACCAGATGTGTTGTTATTGCTGCTAGTCCATGATGGAGGCTGGGATGGGGCATCCCTTCTCCTGGAATCATATCAGCATCTCCCACCCAGTCTTGTAGGAAAAGAATTAGCTGTCACCCTCATCCTGTCTTTCAAATCTATCGTCTATTGTATGAATTTTGAGCTCTGAATCATTCCATCTCTTAGTCTTCTGGAATTCAAAATACCTTTTCTCTTTCAAAAACCTGCAATTTAAATCTTTGACTCCACCATAGATAAAGGAACTTTTGAACTATTACAAGTTCAAAGTCAAGACTTTATCTTCTGCACTTGTCTCTCCCTTAAGGTAATCACACTGAGGCTCATGATCTAGTATATATAATGGAAAAATTGCAAGTTAAAAAGTTAGCATTCTTCTTAATTGAACTACTTGTCTGAGCTTTTTGTGGGGAGAAGAATAACAAGGTAGCTAGGCTGGCCATGCCTATACCATGCTTCACATATTTCCAGGAATCATGAGAGCAAACACTAGCCAGGGTAATATTCCACTAAGCTAGTTACTGGAGGCAACTCATGGGAAAATGCAAAAATACACTAAAACAGGTGTGGCATAGCCATCTGCAACAGTACAAAAACAACCCGTACCATCAGGACTCAGCCACTATCATTAGTATTTGAGCAAATATGTTAACGACTTCACTGAAAAATTAAAATTAGTAATAATTCTGTTCCCACAAGAGCTTTGTTCTGAGCACAAATGGCATCAACACCTTGGGAGCTAATGGTTAGCTGATTTGAGAAGGATCCTCTAGAAATTTATTTAAATCATAGATTTCCCACTGGGATTTTCATTTTAAGCTCTAAATGTGTTTTCGGTTACTGAACCAGATCCTCTGGCATTAAAGTACATCCCTTGTGCATCCTCAGAGATATATTGCCTCTTCCAGGCCACTAGAGCAATATTTGATGAGTTATGACCCAGGCTACAGGAGGACATTACTCACCCTGAGTCCCTGAAAGCATCTGTTTGGCTCCACAGGCTCTAAAGTTACAGTTTAAAGCAGTCTTTTTAAGTAAAAGCCTTTTTAAGAAACAGCTAAATGACACCACCAGGCATTTTAAATCAACCCACATTCATTTGAACTTCAGGTGCTCAAAGTTTGTGTGAGAAAAGGTAACACCTTTTTCTCAACAGTTCTACTCTATCTCAATAGACGTTCTTCCACCTTCTGAGTGTCTCCATACACGTGTTTTAAATGGCAACTTTTCAGGCGCTAATTAAGCCACAGATTTAGCTCAGTGGTTACAGCTGAATTAATTGTGATACGTGAGAGGCAGGGTTCTAGAATGCCCCAGGCAGGGAGCTTTTAAAATCTCAGATTCATTTATGTATGTAAATGGAGCCTGTTCCATTTTTCTGTAAAACCACAAAACTATTGATCATTTCCATTGGCATCACTTTCATTCTAATAGTATCAGATTGATATTAAATGTGTAATTAAATGACTGCCCAATTGTTTGGTCTCAGATATGGTAAGAGCTCACACTCCAGAGGGTTTGTTATGGCCTACTCACCGTGCTAAGCTATTTATGAGTATTATCCAATTTGGTACTGCAAACAATGCCATTTTACATAAGCCTCATGAAGGTTTGGGAACTTATCTAAAGTCACACAGCCCAAGAGTGTGGAGCTAGAGCTAAACTGAGGTCTGACTGGTTTCAGAGCCTCAACTCAACTCCACCAGGCTATCCCACTGCACATACTGCATAGTTTAATCAAAAATTGAGACTATATTCTCTACTTGAAGCCCTGCCAAAACTGAATACAATTTTGACCCTGAATAGATGTTAGATTTTCTTCCTTGAAATGTCTTTCTTTTCCTCCTTTCCTTTTTAACATACTCCTGTGCTTCCTTTCACCTTACAAAATCTCTGGCCCCTTTTAAATGCCAAGAGTCTCAAGCTCCTCCATCATAACATAACACAACATATCTATTAGGGTCTATAAGTCACTCGAAAAATTTAAGCAAGTCTTTAGAAAATATGAATGTTCTTATAATAGTATAAGAATATTATAAGTAATCCTTACTTCTTGATTCTTAAAAATTCTTTTTAAAAAAAGTCCCATTATATAAACAATGAAAAATTAAACACAATTAAATTGAACAAAACATTTTTTCATAAAAACTGGTAAATCCATACTGATATTTTCTTCATAATAGCCCATACTTGAAATAATCTAATTTAAAGTCCCCCAAAACTTAACTTGGACTGGGTAATTTTTTATTGTACATTATACTTAGATTAACTCTTACTGTCACTTTCATACACTTTTCACTCTTTCATAATATTATGTTTGAGTAATAGTTCATTTTTATGCCATTAAAATGTAGAAATACTGTAAATCAGTATAAAATGTCGCATGTAATATTGTTAAAATTTTCACAGCTTAAGTCTAGCGATATACTTATAATAATTAAATTAATCAGGAGCAACTTTTAATATTCTATAAAATTATCACATGAATATATCCAAACAATAGGCTTGCATTAGGGGATCTGTTGTGAAAACAGGCATGGCATGGACATCACACAATGTAAGTGAAAAATAAGTTTCTTAGGAAAAACTTATAAGCAAAGAAGCAGCAGAAGTATGAGCTCTGTCTTCTTGGTGTCCTGCGCTGAGGCAGTCTTGGATCATGCATAGCCAGAGATGCCATGGAAAGCACACCAAAGGAAGGACTCTATGCCCATGCCACTTTACATAGTTATAGAGGCATTGAAAGGAGCCAGGAAAGATCTAGACACCTATGAAACAATGGGAACTCCATGGTGGATGAGATGGCTTTGTTAGAAAGGGGGACTCTCCTGAGTTCAGCCTCTGGGATAGCCTACTCTTCTGTGGAGCTGTTTTGGACCCTGAAGCTAGCTTCTTTCACAAATGAGCCTCCAGAACTCTCTGAATTTGTACCTTTTCAGGATTTGAGTAAATATTTTTAGCATGTTATATTCAAATAGCAACAACCTCAAATATGTTAAAAAGGACACAGTAGCCAACTTGAAGTGGCTCCCAATAGTCATATATGAGACAATTTAAGCAAGAAGAACAAAGAGAGTAATGGATTATAACCCATGGACTAAAATAAGGATCCAAGAGTTCACAGTGATATAAATAAATGTGAGTGAGTGAGTGAGTGAAGAGAAACTCATCCTTACAGTAGATTTCCAATGAATAAATGTTGGGTGAAGCAATCAAGAAAATAGAAAATCTATTTGGCAAACACCACAGTAATAACTGTTTCAGACAAGAATTGTTGACAAATGCTAAAATTTGTGGGTGAAAATCTGAGAAGAGACAGGACAATTACAGAGTCCCAAAGTATCTCCCCATAAGATTTGTATTAATTATCATGGAGAAAGGAGTAACTTTTTGGAGAAATCCAGCGGACTTCTCCTTCAACAAGTGATTCAGTTAAGATCACCAGTAACGGGGTAAATTAATACCATGTACCTCTCAATATAATGCACTGAAAAGGACACAATATCACGTCTGTGGTATTCTTGCCAAAGATGCATAACCTAAACTGAATCACGAGGAAACATCAGAAAAATGCAAATTGAGTGATATTCTACAAAATAATAGGTCAATACTCTTCAAAAGTGTTCAAGTCAATGAAAGACAAAAAGAAAAAAGACCAAAGAACTGGAGGAAGCACCAGAGCAACACTACTGACCTTTCTTTCTACGCCTTATTCATTCCTCTGCAACTCCATGATGAGGGCAGGCCCCACTGTGGGTGGAAGGGAGAGCAGTGGTGGCCTGGTTGCTCAGGGCTGCCTGCGGCTAGGTGGTAAATCTGCCTAATTCTGTACACAAATATTAGCAAGACCTAAAGCTATGTTCTCTAACAGCCTTATCAGTTATTAAGCTGACATTTTGTTCTCTATCAGTCTGATTCCTGGACTATTTCTCAATAAGCCTGAACATAGACAGAAAAGGGATAGTGTCATTTATTAGTAGAGTGACCATATATTTTACTGGCCAAACTGAGACACTTCTGAGAAAGAAAAGGAGCACTATTAATAATTACTCCAGGACTCACAGACAAAATCTGGGACTTGTCTCTGGCAAATGGGGATGTGTGATCACCCTATTTGTTATCCCCAGCTTATGCATGAGCCAAGATGTTGAGGAATAGACATAATGGAATTTGAGGAGAAAAGTAACACTCTGAGACTGATGGGCTGGCTTAGTCTTTAGAAAGCATGGGCCATATAGAATTTCTTTTATCTTTTTATTGTAAGATAAAACCTGGAAAAAAATATGTAATAAAGACACAGAAAACCACATAAAACAATTACATAGCATAATGAATGTTATAAAGTAAACACTCTTGCAACTATCATCAAGGTCAAGAAATTGCCCTTTGCCAACGGCTCCAGAAGCCCATCCATATTACCTATCCCAATCACAGTCCCTCCCTCCTTCCAAAAGTAACTTCTATCTTCCCTTAACTAGTTATTACTACCTTACATTTTTTTTGTTTTTTTTTTATTGCCCATGTGTATATCTATCTTTAGACTCAATATTTTAGTCTTCCCCATTTTTAAAATTTTAAAATGTCTCTTAAGTCTCTTTTAATCTACACATTTTCCCTTCCATTTCCTTCCATTTTATCTGATGGAGAATTCATACCATTTGGCCTGGTTTGCCACAGTTTGGGTGTTGCTGGCTGCATACTCATGGTGCAGTTCAACATGTTCCTCTGTCCTCTGTATGTCCTGCAAATTAGCAGCTGGATCCAGAGGTTTGATCAGACTCCTGTTCAATCCCTTTGACAAGTCCACAGGCGGTCATGTTTTCTCTCTTTTTGTGATGTTAGCAGCCATTAATGCTCATTGCCAAATCCATTAATTCATTGGGAGTAGTAAAATGGTGATATTCTACCTCTATATTTTACCTTCATTTACTAGCTGGAATATTTTTATAAATAGATGCTTAACTCATCTACTATTTAGTTACCCCATGTACCCATGGTATTGTTTGTATAGTATATTGCTTGTGTGTATTGCTTCTTTGCCTTAAAAAAAAAAAGGAGTTCTAAGATAATAATTAGTTCCCTGTCATCTTCTAAATATGACCAACAATTTTATATCATTATGAACTTATTAACTTAAACATATTATATGGGTTTCAATCTACTGGGTTTCTTATCCTTAATAAAGCTCAAATTGTCCCATCTTTGGCCAGTGGAGGCCTCTTCAAGTTGACTCCTTCGGCCTTTCGACACTACCGTAGTAGTCTTTGATGGCCATCTAACTATTTAGTATGACAATATCTTGTCATGAGGGATTTGAACTAGATCACTTCTAAACATCCTTCCAGCTTTATAATTTTGAGACTATAACATCTTGAATTAATTGGAAACATATGTTTTCACAGGAAACCATACAGTCATTTTCTCTATTATAATTTTTACCTCTATTATGGCATTTATCAACTTTCCTTGTATCAGAATCATTTTGGTAGTTGCACATCTCTCTTGCCTACCAGACTATGAAGCCCTGGAAGGCAAGGATACACGCTGTTCATCTTTTATCACCCTCAGCCTGTAACACATTCGAGATAAATGCTCACTGGATTAAATTGAACTATAAGACTTGAGTAGTTTACAATCTTAAAAGACCATGCTATTGGGGGAACTTTCTCCATTATAGAGACATAATTTGGGGCATAATCACTAATAAGCCAAGTAGCAAATAGTTTACTTGATTATATGAAGGAAAGAACAGGAAACATGTCAATATCCCATTTCAAATTAAATATTAAAAAAAAAAGTTAACATGTCACTTACAAGTTCTCAGTGCTGTCCTGTATTCTGACAGGCTTTCACAAAAATTAACCACACCCCCTAACTTTTATCTTTGTAGAGAGTGGAGAGTGGTGAGAGGGGAGCAGAACTTTCTATCCAGAACATTGCAAATTCAGGACCCATTGACTCCATAATTCTATTGCCATGGAGATGGACAGGAAGGCCAAGAACCATGGGTTCTTTTTAAATTCTTGTTTCTTGTTGTAGGAGCAGCCAAAGAGGGAACCCTGCATGTTATGGGCTTTGATATTCAGGAGTCAGAGCATGAGTGGGGAAGATGCAGAGAACACTTGGGGGCACTCAGCCCTGCTATAGGACCTCACAGTAACCAAACCTAAAGAGCAGAAGCTCTTCCCTTCTGTTACAAGAAAAATACATGAATAATAATGTTAAAATTAGTTACCACCATTGGGTTCAAGATGGACTACAGCCGTATGTTGTTATTTAAATTAAGCAATGGGCTATGTATTTAGCATTTTTTAATGAAATGGTTTATTATGGATATTCTACTGCTCTGTGAAAGCTGTGTAATTATTGGTCCTCTTGTCAGAAAACAGGACTTTTCACTCCCTAGCATATGCTTTAAGAAGCATGTTAGTCACACAGTGCATTAAACATATAATAATTTTCTGTTTTAAAAAATAGTTTTTAGAAGACCTGCTTCCAGGAATATGGAGTATATACTTTTCTCCATTCCTCCAATAATTACAATGAAAAACCTGAACATTATATACAAAATCAATACAAGAAGACTCTGAGGGGTGAAGATAAGAAATATGCTTCTGCAGTTATGTTAAACTGACACCCTGTTTCAAGATTCACCTTGCAGTATCTTGCTCTGTACATATTTGTCTAACGTTCTTTTGCTTTGCCTAAACAATGCATTTAGGAAGTGTCCCATTATCAGATAGCTCAGTGTATGTGTTTTACCACCAACCAATCCCACCACTTTGTACCCCTCTCCCTGATCATCTTGAGCTAAGGACAAGCGAATTTCAAAAGCACCCAAGTGGTAGTGCCGTCATGGCAAGATGAGCATCGTCACATGACCAAATCTCTGGTCTATTCTAAGCTTATAAGCTCCAGAATTTAAGTCCAAAGAAAGTTCAAAAAAGTCCCAGAGCAATGACTTCTCCCTCCAGTTCCTACCCATAACATTTGTTGAGCATCAACTGTGCATCAGCATTCTTCTAAGTGCTTTAAACAGATTAACACTTCTCATTCTCACCCCATGAATTAGATTCACTTTTTATTTGGGAAATTGAGGCATGGAATGGTTGCATAACTCGCTCAAAGTCATAAAGTAAGTGAAAGAACCAGGATCTAGATCTTAGTAATCCAACCTCCATATTTCTCTGGCTTTGGAGACCAAAATGCTTAAAATAGTGTTTTTCAAGGTTGGTCCAAGGTATTTGCTTCAGGATCATGAGGCAGAGGTAGCATTTGTTGTTATAAAGGTGACTCCCTCCACTCCAGCATTATCAAATCCAAAGTCTATGGATAGGAATCCATATTTTCAACAAATACCTCAGGTGATTTTGCGCGCATCAAAGCTGGAAACTGATTGATTTAAGCAGACCATGCTTCAGCTCCTACAAGAAGAACCCACTGATTTCTGAAAGGAAACAGGTCACATGCAGGTCAGTCTTAGTGGCCCACTGGGTCCCTTAACATTCCAATACGTAAAAGTGGAAATCAGAGTCAGCAGGTAGTATGACTCTCTGAAGCCAGGACTCTGGAGAGGGAGCTGTGTGGAGGTTGTGTATACGAGTCTTTCTTTTTATTCCTGTTCTTTAGAGCTTTAGTCCAGGAACTTAGTAGCAGCATTCTAGTCCCATTGCGTGAGCCAGCCATTTAAGGGTCTACCGCCTGATTAGAAAACCCTAATATTTTCCTTAGTTGTTTTGCTGAAGCTTATACTACAGTTCTGGCCAGTATTCCAGACCATGGTTGCCTTTTGAGAATAAAATAACTAACTGAATGAATGAACAAATAAAGTTTACAAATAATGCATTGAAATAACTCATAATTTACCATTCACCTTAGCGAATATTTCTGGAGGCAGTGCCACTTACAAGTGGCATTATCCATGTTAAAATAAAAGATTTTATCAAAGTTCATTTATGTGGACAGCGTTTGTTCCCTGAGCAATGTAAGTGTGCATGTCCTTTATGATGTAATGTTTCGAAGCTGACCATTTGCTGGTGATAAAAATTCAAAGGATTGAAAGGTGAGTAGTGGGGGAATCATTATAAATATTGCACTGAAGAAACTACTTTTCTACTGTATAAGCATTATTGAAGTAAATCCACCCATTAAAACAGAAACATCAGTGACCTAATTAAAAAGGAAACACAAAAAAGAAATGTTAATAGCTTTCTTTGGTGACATTTATAGATAATCCCATAAACCTGTTTGATGTGACACTGTGTTTGCTGCAAATGGAGGCTGAGATAAGTATGTAAAAGACAAGAGTTGGTGGGAAGGTCTGGGAGGATGGATGAGTAATACTACGTAATAAAACAGGGTTGACATGAATTTTGTGAACCAAGTAGAACTGGGAGGACTAATGTTTTCCAAAGTTGTCCTAAAATATCACTATGCACTGGAATCTGGAGTAAGGTTGACCAGCTGCACCACCCAAGGCCACACACACACACACACACACACAATAAAATGATCACAGGCTTTAGAGTCAGACAGTCCTAGATTCAAATCCTACTTACTAGCTGTGTTACCTTGATCCAGTCGCATAAGTTCTCAGAGCCGCTTTTTCATTGCCTATAAAATGGGCATAATAATATATACTTTACAAAATTCTGGGGGTAATAAGTGAGATTAAAAAATGGCAAGCACCCAACAGAGTGGCTCACACTTATTAGGCACTCAATATATATTGGTTCTCTTCCCTTCTCTCCTCCCCGTACAGCAGCTACAGTTACCAGAATAAGGTCCAAATGAGGGCTTCTCACCATAAGGAACTCCACTGACATGAATTCAGACAACAGCAATACATGGAAGTTGTACTTGCAAAGATTCATTATACACGTGGCATTCCTAAAGAGGTAAAAGAGAAGGTTAACCTTGACCTTCTATCTCCTTTTTAAAAAATATACCTTTAAAGCCATATGATTAACAGTATGTTTCCATAGATGAGTAGAAATAAAAATTGCCAAAGCAACAGCTAAAATACTATAGGTTTTCTGTTCTTTCTTTCTTTTTTCATCTTTTTATCTTTATCTTCTTGGAAAGGCTGTTATGGCCATACAGCAAACCTCAGTGGTAGCACAGCAGGTTTTTTGTAGTTCTCTGGAATTATAGGTAATGATGAAACTCTCCAACCTCACTTCCGTCCCAGGCTAGTGTGGAACTGGTATGGCCAGGGAGTGCAGCTCGCTATGTGCGTTGGTGGTTAGGTAGGAACAAAGTGGAGAAAACAAAGATGAAGGAAGCAGGACGGCACTTTTCACAAACCTAGGCTGCAAGCTGTGCAGCACTGGAGCTGGGGTGCCTACACAGAGGTATTGTAGAGAGGTGATTATATCACATTGTCCTCTCCTCTGAGAAAGAAATTTCTGGCAAGGTGGTTGCCGATAGGCAAGAAGGAGATCAAAGGTCACAGTAGCTTCCTGCCAGTTCTATCCTGTGTGCACATTTAATGTGTCCCTATGTGAGCCCTGGAAGCTTAACAAGCTCCATCTGTTTCTGTTCATGGCTTTCCTCCATGTGTCCCACACCGTTCATACTTCTGTTCAGAAACAGCCTCCTTCTTATGGCCATATCCTCATCCAGGGCTGTTTCCCAAAACCAGTGGTCATGTCTCAAGACCAGATGGGCATAAACAGAACTTGAACTGAGACAGGACCATTGAGGTGGGTTTTGATTCTTGGTCCAAATCTATGCTGCTCTGAATGAACTCTTGTGAGACATAGCACAAAAGACCCTCCTCCTGCTATCCCACCAGCCAGTGGTGCCTTGCCTTTATTACTGGACAGTGTCTTTCTCAGTCCCTCTCCCCTGACTGTTAGCTCAACAGGTGCGGAGGACCGTGATGGTTTCTTTATCTATCTCCCCTAAGCCAAGAGCTGTGATTCCCCATCATTTCATCACCAAGAACCTTTTCTCTTTTATCCATCATGAAATTCAGCATGAACAAAGAGACAAATTCTCTGCTTTGATTCCAAATCAGAGCCTTGAAAGCTCTGACTTTTCATTTTAAGAGCCAGGTATTTGTGAGAGAAATGTTTAGCGGGAAGGGGTTGACGGGGGTGGATTTCAAGATCTTAGCTTGAATACTAAAAGCTAGGCTGAGAGACTCTAGGCGTAGCATTTAAACAATAAATCAGAGAGTGGGGCAGGATGTGCATTGATTTAAGAGCCAGTTTGCCATCATGCAAAGGGGAGATTGTGGGCTGGGGAAAGGGGCTTGGAGAGAGGAGGAGAAGGTCTCCATCCTGGCCTGCGCAGCTGCTCCACCATTTGTCCATATGGTGTCTTTGTGTGAATTAGAAAAAAGTGCTCCTTCCTCAAGACACATGACTTTTATTGTCCAGAAAATCATCATGTACAAGTCAATGACATCTGTGATGTAAATAGGGCTCCCTTAGATGTGACGTTGTTGTGCAGTGCATAATGAAAGCCTGGGGAGTAAACACTGTCCCTGTCTGTTCCCTTGGTAAACACTCAACTGCAGAGGGGGAGGGAGTAGAAATTCTTCAATAGGTTGGTGATCTGAGACCAGAGGGGAGCTGTACCCTGCTTACCATCATAGAGCTCTGGAAGGAGGCAGGCTCAGCGTACCCTCCACCAGCAGCATGGAGCTGCAGAACAGTAGAAGCTGGCAGCTGGCTGGCTGAGCAGAGATAGGTCTGAGATGAATACCACTCCCCCCCACCACCGACCCTAATTCTTGGGGCCTCCAGCAAACCCAGAGAGGCACTGGAGGCAGCTGAGGATTAAAAGCCAGGAAAGCTACTAAGCCATAACTGTGGTTCCAGGCAAGCTGACTCCTAGCTGAGGCTGCAGATGGACCAGTAGGGACCAGGAGGATGTTACTGACTCTCAGAATAGCAAGTCCCAACAAGAGCTGTGGTTGGACCAAGTTTGGAGAGGGAGATGCTGAGCTTCTGGGGAACACTCACTGTTTATGTGGCCTGTACCTAACAGAACAGATAATGGGCCACAAAAATGGAGATGCCTACAGACAAATAAGACAGCCCAGAGGCCCTCCTCAGATGCCATGATGATGGATAGGCCCCTTGGGGATCACAGCCAGGGATAAGGGGAGAAGAGGTGGAAGGAGGATTCTGTTTGACAGTGATAGAGTTACCTTGAATTGGCAAGATTACCTTTCCCCTATTTATTTTGTTCTAAAAAACCATATTTTTTTTGGACGACTTAAATTTTGTAACTATGTGAATATCAGGCCTGCTACAAACAAAGCATTCATTGTGTATTTCTCAGGTGTCCCTTCTCCCCACTTCTCACCTCTTTCAGCTGTAGGCTAGGAATTTGAATTTCATAGTCAGCCCCAAGAGGGACATTTAATCTTGTAAAACTTCCGACTTTTGGTTCTTAACTGCGGACTTTCCCTATTTGTTTTATCCTATCTGTTCTCAGAGAGTAACGAGTGGTAAAACTTTTACCAAACCCTAATCACACGTGGTTGTGTAGGAAATTGGAATAAGAGGGATTAGTAACCAAGTTGCATTCCTGATCTGCAGTAGATGACAGAGGATCTGCTGCCAGCCACGTGTGTCCAAAGCGACGGTGAGGGAGCGGCCTCTTCATCTACAAGCCTAGGGGTTAACCCTGGAGATCTTAGTGGCGGAAGGGCCAAGCTCGTCCCCATTGAACATCCTCTCCCAAGGTGAGAGTGATTTGGGTAAAGGATGGAATCTATAGTGTGTACTCTTTAACTTGAAGAATAAAATATGAAATCTTTCATTTTACAGACGTATTTAATCCTAACAACTGCAAAATGTAGATTCTTTCTGAAGATGAGTAGTTAAACTCCCTCCCTGCTCTACCCAAGCCGTGGCCTTAACACAATTCAGGGCCTTTCATATCACCTTTCTTCTTTCACATAATCTAGCACTGACATCATAATGCCCTGTGGGATGTTTAATGATAATAGTAATTGCTAACATTTATTGAGCATTTCCTTATGTTGAGAACTAGTCTAATGACTCTATATAAATTAGCTCATTTAATTCTTGAAACCTTATGAGACAACTACCACAGTTAGTCCCATTTTATAGATGGGACAACTGAGGCAGAGACAGGTTATATAAGGCCTCACAGCTAGCGCGTTTAGAGCTCATCTCTAAATGACACTGGTTTCATGCTTAAGCTTGGTCTTCAAGAAGCTTTAAAACTCTTGGAAGCTAGGGATGTCTTCTATCCCTACTACCTGGCATAATGGGCAAGGTAGGCAACATATAAAGATCATTGACTTGACTTGGCTTTTAGAAATAATATGGGAATAATATGGAAATTATGTTGTCACCTGTCCTCTTTATGGATCTAACACAAACTCTCTCATTTTATAACTGGCTCAACAAAAGCAGCTCGCAGTTGGTCGCCTCATTCTGATTCCTGGTGGACTATGTCTCTAGGGAAATTGGTCTAGATATTATACCTGTGGTTAGAACCAAAGTTTTAATTTGACCTCTCTAAAGCATATTGGTACTACATGTTGATTTATTGGTAAGTGTTAATTTATTTTTACCAAGGCCTAAATTCTGCTTTAAAAATGAGTATCTCTTGGGGCTGGCCCGGCGGCGCAGCAGTTAAGTGTGCAGGTTCCATTTCCGTGGCCTGGGGTTTGCCGATTGGGATCCCAGGTGCAGACATGGCACCGCTTGGCAAGCCATGCTGTGGTAGGCGTCCCACATATAAAGTAGAGGAAGATGGGCACGGATGTTAGCGCAGGACTAGTCTTCCTCAGCAAAAAGAGGAGGATTGGCAGCAGATGTTAGCTCAGAGATAATCTTCCTCAAAAAAAAAAAAAATGAGTATCTCATAGGAATAATTCTTTTCATACGTGATATACATTTATTCCTGAAAAGCTGGATATAAACTGACTCAAATTTCAACTCACTTGGGAAGTTTGTTTCTTAAAGACACTCTGTGTTGATTGTTTTATAAAAGTAAAGAAATCTTGTATTTGTTACTTCTGTGAATCTATATAAATTACACCTGTGTCAGCCTCTTCAGGAAAGATACTGATGTTGCCAGTCTGACACCCTACCAACAGTCGTAACGTAATTCGGTGGCCTTGTTCAGCCTTATAATGTCAGTAAGATCTTTGGCTGACAGAAGAATGCCTCCTCAGACTGACCGTCAGAGAAGTTCTGCAGTTTCTTCGATGAGGCTCTTCTTGGGGTCCCTTTCAGAATACGGCCATCATCACTCTCAAGTTCCTGGGAGTCATGAAATTGGGGAAAAAAGCAAAGAAGTGGTTGAAAGGAATTCACCCCTGCTTCACTTTCTCTGTTGCCTCTTTCCAGATCTGATTCACTGAAAGCCTTCTCCTGTGAGCTCAGGAAGTCTCCAGAGCTGTGTTAATAGCATTAGCTGAACCCTTCTCCCTCAGCGGAGCATGGAATCAAGTCTCATTCAGGATGCAACGGTCTAGCTACAGCTGGGGGGCTCTTGGATACCATCTTTATCTCCATACCCACTCCCATGCTTTCTTTACTACTAACTGGATCTAGTGTGCTTGGGAAAACTTGCGGGCTGTGTATCTCCCAAGTTGAAACTCAGCCTGCCTCCCAGCCAAGGAAATTCTCTGCCAGTCTGATGAGGCCTGGGTAGGAGCCCAGTGGCTGACTGCTCTAAACTGGCCTTACCTTGCCGTTGGTGGTGAGGCCTGAGACTTGGAAATAAGCTCAAGAGAAAGAGTAGTCTTTCAGCCTGCCTTGGTACTAGATGCACAGCTGCCCCTTGTGGCAGCCAAAGGAATCCTGCACTCGAAGGTTTTACATCAGGATTTGGCACTGAAGTTGTAATAAGTGTACATTTCCAGACTTCTGTTCTCTGTGCCCATATTTCCCA